AAAATTTGAGAGGAGAATCATTTCAAACTAATATTTTACATTTTTAGAAATGATACCCGTAGCGACGATGGCAAACTTCTGGAATATTCCTATTATAGCTTATATGGCTACATCCAATACACTATCAAACAAAAAGGTAAACAGAATCTTTTTTGTTTCAGAGCGAAAGTAGAAAAAAAACCGAAATTCATTTTAGATTTACAAGACACTGATTCGTACTTCGCTGAGGACCATGAATACTGTAGCTGAATCAACTGCTGCATTTATAAAGCACTATAAATGGAAGAAGGTAATTAAATTGACTACCAGCCTCTAAGAAAGCTAAATTAATCAATTTTAGGTAGCGCTGATATCAAATACTGGTGTAGCTGCTTACGAGAAGATCAGCGTGTTTGAGCCAGTGCTAAAGAGATACGGGATTACGGTAACCAAGAAAATTCTGTTCGAAGAATCAGCCACCGTCCAGGATATGGTAAACAGTGGACAATTGGAGGAAGTTCGATCAAATTGTAGAAGTGAGTAGTTGAATTAAAAGGGGAGAGAAAGTATAAGGATAGCAGTTGATATTTGAATGGAATAGTTGATTTAAAGATAGACAAGCAATTTATGATGAAATGATCTTTTCGTACCGCTACGGTATGCTACCGTAATCCCAGTGTGCCTCTTATGTAGGACAATGAACATATGCTCGTGGCAAAGCGAGTATAGGATTTTCCTGTGTAATTTTGTGCGAAAAGATCGCAATCCCCCATGCCCAAGCTCATTATTACGGTAGCCGCCAATCTATTACGATAATGGGCCTGCAAAGTAATGCGTTGATTCCAGTTGCAATCGTGATGTTCACATCTGCGCGGGACCTCACCACCATATTCCGCGACGCTCTGACGTTATATGGAATGTCCGAGACTGAATTTGTCTTCATCTTTCCCTACATGCAAGAAGGAACAAATGGAGCATCACCGTTTGCCGGAAGCGATAACGCCGTACTGGACAGAGTGAGGAAAACCTATGCAAACTGTGTTTTGGTAAGTAAAAATTAAGAGCAAAATGAAAAAATAAGAAAAAAATTCCGAACAAAATTTAGATTGATGATACCAACGGCTTCGATGACCGTATGATCACTCCATTCCTTGAAAGACTTGCTACTATCGGACTTGACGAGAAAGACATCGACTTGGTGAGTCCAAACTCAAAGCTTTCATTATCGTAGGCAAGCAAATTTTATTTCGCAAAAAGCTCATTTTAGGGCAACATCTACGGATATATTGCGCTTTTCGACTCAATAAAAGTGTTTGCAACGGCCGGAAGAAAAGTTTTGAATAGCACTGGAAATTTTGCCTCAGTCATTGATGGGAAATTGATGTGGAGCGCCATGAGAAGAATGACCGTACCAGGTAGAAAAATTGATTATTTTGGTCCACCGCGATTTTACCACGATTTTTTCTAGGAATGGTTGCCAACTCCGGTGTCGGAAGTGGGACAGTAATGTTGGATGATCTAGCTGAACGTATACCCTACTACTCGGCATTCTTTGTGGACAAAAATAGAAACCAGGTCCTAAAAAATTGCAAAAATTAGTAGAAATCTGGACATTCTTAGGGTGATATGACTGATACTCCAAAGAAGAATAATAAACAGTACATAATAAATAATAGAATGATCAAATGAAAAATGATAAAAATAAAAAACAACACAAGACAATTTTGGCTAAAGACAACGCTTGCAAAAGCACCATCCAGCAAAAGTCACTCCTCACCTCGACTCATAGGCGTCAAACCGCGACGCTGCAGTAAGCGCGCAGCGTGCTATACCTCTTTATGCACCACGTGTATCAACAGTCGTGTATTAAGTAGCAGTGAAGGTTCTTAAAAAATTTGTTGAAGCTTCTATTGCGTAATATATCCCCCAGAACCCTCAGATTACCCCGTTTGCGAACATCATCCCGTCGCTCGTCGCTAATTGTGATGGATTGAAAACTGGCACTGGATGCTTCTCACTCGTAAGTTTTGCATACCGTAACCAAACAATTTTCTGACAGATACCGTAGTAGGGAACTTGAATGTTTTTAGAACGTCACCGAGGTGCAAACATCTTTTTGGCCATCTCCTGATGGCAACATGCCAATTGATGAGCCAGTTTGTGGCTACAGGTAAAGAAAATTCCACAAAACTTAGGAGAATTCCTAATTTGGTAAATTTTTTCCAGAGGTGAAAAATGTGACTATACGTTGATCATCGTCGGTGTATCGGCTGCTATTTCATTCGTCATCATGGCTGTTGGAGCATATTTACTCAGACGATACTGGTGAGTCCATTTTTTGTTCAAAAAAGAGAATAAAATTTTTGTGAACAAATTTCCATTTTAGTGAATCTCGCGCTCTTGACAGTATGCCATGGAGAATCTTCCGAGACGATATGCAGATTGTAGATGAAGAAACAGTCAAATCTATGGTTGATTTCAAGAACATCAATATGAATGTCCCAATTTTTCAAAAAATCAATATTCAGCTATCCCTCGGATCTCAACGAACCAAACTATCCAATACAAATGCAATGGCCCTAAAGAACCATGCTGTTATTGGAGTGAACACTCATGCCACCTACCATATGTACGAGCAGAGAAGACCGATCAAATTTGGACGAGCTGACCTTGCTTTGCTAATGCGGGTAAGTTTACAATGAGAGTTCTAGCAAAAAGATCACCAAAGGCAATGCCCAGGCATATCCCTATATGTGGGGTTCTCATTTGAAAATGATTTGAAAACTTAAACCCAAACGGTTGCCCAGACGGCAGCTCATATAGGTCAGTCGTGGCCGAGAAATCCAAGTCTCAACTCTCACCCGGATCGTTTGTGCGCGCATTGGTCGTTCGGGTAGAGTACGGTTTGGGTAAAAGTTGGGAATTGAATTTCTCTCCCACGAATAAATTAGCTGCTGTTTGTATAGCTTGAGTAAGACTCCACAATCAACCTACACTAAAGAAATTTGGGTCCCTAGATCCCTCCATATGTAACCTTCTAGGTTACGGAAGCAGGTCATCGCCAAAAAAAAGACTTGAAAGTATGGTAGCCTAGATTTTTTGATTTTTGAAGAGCGTGGAATCAAAATTTGATGAATAAATAACTTTATCAAATTATGACAGCAAAGGCACTCACCAATCAAAATTTGAGCAGTCGCCAATATTTTCTAGCCCCAAAAATTCGTTTTAGATGAAGCAAGTCGTTCACGATAACCTCAACCCTTTCCTTGGAATGGCTTTCAATGAAAAAGGTGAAGTTCTACTACTGTGGAAATTCTGCTCAAGAGGAACTTTACAAGTAGGCTTCAACTCTCTCCTAAAAAACTTTTTACGAACATGCAAACTCAAAATCAACCATTTAGGACCTTATTTACAATGACCAATTCGTTTTGGACGAGAAGTTTCACGGAGCATTCGTGAGAGATATCACCCTGGTAAGTACACTTATCCAATCTACAACATGTTTAATAAGGTTTTTCTAGGGCCTGGAATATCTCCATCTGTCAAATATCGGCTACCATGGTGCTCTAACAACGTGGTCCATTCTCATCGATCGTAATTGGTTGATGAAATTGACAGACTACGGTAAGTGAACGGTATTCCAAACCAGACAGCAATGCTCAATTTTTTTTGATAATTCAGGCATCAGCGATGCAGTAAATAGATGGGTGAAACATGGTAGTATCAATGCTGAAGTAACTAA